CTGCATTGCAGGCGTCTTCAAACTACGGCCCGCGGGCCACATGCGGCCCGCAGAGGAGTCTGATCCGGCCCGCCAGGTTTTTTGGGCAGTGAGCGCAGCTGAGGTGTTACAGTAGGAATTAGTAGTTCATATAGTCCGGCCCTCCAGCTCTCTGAGGGACCGTGATCTGGCCCCCACTTTAAAAAGTTTGAGGACCCCTGATAGGGTAAAGTCTAACTTCTTACTATGGACTAAATGGCCACATATGATCTGGCTCTCTATCCGATGTCATCTCATACACTTGCTCACTCACTCATACACTGGCTACACGCACCCATTTTCTGTTCACTAAGTCTTCCAACTACCAACACCACTTTGGCATCTTCTGCTTTCTCAGGCAGAAATGTCCTCCCTAGTTATTTGCATGGTTGGCTCATTCTCACCCTCCAGGTCTGATCTAAAAGGTCACATCTCAGAGTGGCCTTTCCTGGCTTCCTGATTTAAAATATTTGCCTCACTCCCACATATTTCTATAATAAAGTGCCCTGTTTATTTTCCTCATAACTTTGCAATCTGTTGATTTATTTATTTATTGACAGCTGCTTTCATTAGAATGCAAGCTCCAGGAGGGCAAGAACATTATCTGACTTATGTACCACTGTGTCCACAGTGCCCAGCAGCTGAATAAATACACGAAGCTAGTCTTCTTCCACTCTCCCATACACCTTTAGCTTGTTTCCATCTCTGTGACACTGCACATGACCTGCCTTCAACCTGCAATATCCTCCAACTTATTCTTTTTTTGTGTTGTTAAACCTCACCCAAGGATATTTTCCCATTGATTTTTATTATTTTTTATTTTTTAATTTCTTTATTGATTAAGGTATTACATATGTGTCCTTATTCCCCCATTACCCCCCACCTCCCATATGTGCCCCTACCCCCTTGTTGTCTGTGTCCATTGATTAGGCTTATATGGATGTATATAAGTTCTTTGGTTGATCTCTCCCTCTTATCCCCACCCTCCCCTACCTTCTCTGTGGTTTGACATTCTGATTGATGTCTCTCTGTCTCTGGATCTATTTTTGTTCATCAATTTATGTTGTTCATTATATTCCATAAATGAGTGAGATCATGTGATATTTATCTTTCTCTGCCTGGCTTATTTCACTTAGCATAATGCTCTCCATCTCCATCCATGTTGCTGAAAATGATAAGAACTCCTTTTTTAGCACAGCGTAGTATTCCATTGTATAGATGTACCACAGTCTTTTAATCCACTTATCGGCTGATGGGCACTTAGGCTGTTTCCAAATCTTAGCTATGGTGAATTGTGCTGCTATGAACATAGGGGTTCATATGTCCTTTCTGACTCATGTTTCTAGTTTCTTGGGATATATTCCTAGAAGTGGGATCACTGGGTCAAATGGGAGATCCATTTTTAGTTTTTGAGGAAACTCCACAAACTGTTCTCCACAGTCCCTGCATCAGTCTGCATTCCCACCAGCAATGCACAAGGGCTCCTTTTTCTCTGCATCTTCACCAGCATTTGTCATCTGTTGATTTGTTGATGATAGCTATTCTGACAGGTGTGAGATGGTACTGCATTGTTGTTTTGATTTGCATCTCTCTGATGATTAGTGACTTCGAGCAGGTTTTCATATGTCTCTTGGCCTTCCTTCTGTCTTCTTTCTAAAAGTATCTACCGTGTTTCCCCCAAAATAAAACATCCTCTGAAAATAAGACCTACTTACAGGTTTCCTTCTGAGTGAAATATAAGGCATCCCCCAAAAATAAGGCCACCCTAGGCTCTGTCTCAGAATGAAAATTAATTTACTGTAAACTGGTCGTTAGGGCCTCCCTGACTGGCATATCTAGCAACCAGTGATGTTAAGGGAGTCCTGACGTCACTGCTGTGTGGAGGCGGAGCAGAGGTCGGAGTGAGCGGTGAGTGGGGTGAGAGGAGTGAGTGGTGAGGGCAGGGCGGGAGAGAGGAGGAGACTTTCGCAGATGTGTGTAGAACAGGAGGATTAGAGCGGATGGGACACAGCAAAGGTGGTGAGTGCTGGTCTGTCTCTGGTGACACTACCTGATGCTCGCGGCCACCCTCATGATGACTGAAGGTTCTCAGTCAGTGGCAGACCCTGCTCCAGCCCAGATCCAGGCCTCAGCAAGCCCAGTGACAGTCCCCAGGCAGGCCCCAGTGGGTAAATATCTGATAAAGGGGTAGGGGGGATGTCTGGTGAAGGTGTTCAGTGGCACAGGGGTGGGGGGAGGGGAATCACTTAAAATGACACAGGAGGATCAAAAGGGGTTACTAAAATGGTAATCCCCCCTCTGATTCTCCTGTGCCATTTTGATTCCCCCCTCTGATTCCCCCTGTGTCATTTTAAGTGATCCTCCTCCCCCCACCTTGGTACATGAGAGATTTGGTCCACTGATTCTGAAAGAAATGGAGTCACAAGAAATTCACCAGGAAATTCAGGAATTGGATTGTTATGATGATGTTCCAGAAGATGATGACATGATTGTCATTGAATAAATGAGTAAATTCTTGATACTATAGGATTCACAGTTTGTCTGGTTTGTGTTGACAACTACCATACTACCATACCGTATACAGGTAATAAGTTTCCTTTATTTTCATTGTTAAATAAATGTGTACCGTATTCTTCTTCATGGAAAAATAAGACATCCCCTGAAAATAAGACCTAGCGCATCTTTGGGAGCAAAACTTAATATAAGACACTGTCTTATTTTCGGGGAAACAGGGTATTTAGATCAGTTGCCCATTTTTTTTTTTTTTTATTGGTTTCTCTTTTGGTTAAGCTGCATGAGTTTCCTGTAAATGTTGGAGATTAAACCCTTATCATTGATATCATTAGCAAATATGTTCTCCCATGTAGTGGGCTTTCTTGTTGTTTTATTGATGGTCTTCTTTGCTGTGCAAAAGCTTTCTATTTTGATGTAGATTGATTTTTAGAGAGTGGAAGGGAGGGGAAGAGACACACATAGAGAAAAACCTCAGTATTAGAAAGATACATCAATTGATTGGCTACCGCAAGTGCCTGGCTAGGACCTGGGATTGAGCTTGCAACTGAGGTACATGCCTTTGACAGGAATCAAACCTGAGACCCTTCAGTCTGTAGGTCATCACTCTATCCACTAGCGAGGCCTCCAACTTATTCTTGACCAATTAATATCTTCTCATTTCCTTCAAATTTAGTTCAAGCCCTAGCTGGTTTTGTTCAGTGGATAGAATGTTGGCCTGCCGACTAAAGAGTCCCGGGTTTGATTCCGGTCAGGGGCACATGCCCGGGTTGTGGGCTCAGTCCCCAGTGTGTGGCATGTGAAAGCAGCCGATCAATGATTCTCTCTCATCATTGATGTTCCTATCTCTCTCTCCCTCTCCTCTCCTCTCTGAAGGAATATATTTAAAATATAAAAATATATTTAAAATATAAAAATACATTTAAAAACAAAACAAAAAACAACTCAGTTCAAGACTCATTGCTTCCGAAACCCCCTGCTCATTACTGACTTCTCACCTGATGTCCTGTTAATCATTGATTCAGTAAGTATACACAGAACCCCTTAGCAATCTTGCAAACAGCTGTTATCACATTATCATGCCTTTGCTTGTATTTGCTTTGTAATCATAGTCATTTCATGTATGTAAGTAAGTTTTGTTCCCGAAGACTGTAAGTTACTCCTGGGTCAATATTGCATCACACTTTATATAATTCCACTAAAGTACTTAGTCCATTTTGGTGCACACTGCCAGCCATAAAGCAGAACACTCCCTTCATAGCTCAGAGAAAATGCAAATAGCTGGAAGTTCATTTTAGGAACAGAGCTAGTCTTTTAAAGAGTTGTTTTGAAATTAGAAAAAGGAGGCATATTGCTTTCCCCTCTTTACTTAAAAAAAAAATCAAAACAACAGCTCCAAAACATTCCTGTGTGTGACAGTAGCAAGAATTTAGCTAGCTATTTCATCATACCTGTGGAAGAATGCACAGAAGATATGAGGTAAGTAAACTGAGGTTAAGATTTTAGATTTAGTTATAAAATTTTTTTTTTGCAGCTTTCAGAATGTAAAAAAGTGCTTCACCTTCAGGGAAATAAAGAATAACAAACAAGAACTATTCACTCCAGGTAAAGAATTTCCACCCTCCAAACTCAAATGGATTGGGCTACTGATGAGATTTTCATGTGTATATTAACTGCTATTCCCCGTGAAACACTATCTGCCAGGGCAATTGGAAAAATGAGTTATTTTGGTATATTTCAATAGGACAAAGTTCTGTGAGATTAAAGGTTGGGGCCAGTATATATTTTACCATAGTTTTATAACTCAGATTAGTAATAATAAATGACCAACACATAATTTTTATTTGGAAAATAAGTTTAATAGGGAAAATACTTTCAACATATTTGTATAAATTAGTATCATAATATTAGACATTTTTTAAATACAAAACAGGCACTATTTGAAAGTACAGTTCTATAAACTTTACAGAATCTCCAAGGTGGAACAATCCAAAATTTGCCTTTTTAAAAATCTGGTAGACATGATTAGCCTAAAGTGTTTGTTGAGTTATTTATAGGTTTTTGTGTGTGTTTTTTTTTTGTTGTTTTGTTTTTTTTTTTTGTATGTGTGTCAAATGCTCAATTTGATCCTTTCTACGCAACTGGGACATCTTCTGAGAATAACTTAAGTTGACTAAATAATTTATTTTCAGGGTAAGCTTGCAAAGCAACTAAAAAAGGCAGAGAATTCAGGCCACTTACACTATACATGACTGCAATTCAAAGGAGGTCTTTTGAGGCATAATTAGGCAGTCATGATAAAAACTGCCTTTCTGAAACAAGATTTAAGCCTAGACTGCTTCAAATTTAGCTAAAGGATAGTTCTACTATGATACTAATAACTTTTAAACATTAAATATTTTCAGTTAGGGAGTAATGGGGGAATAAGGACACATGTAACACCTTAAGCAATAAAGAAATTTAAAAAATATTTTCAGTTAGCTTCTGAGAAGGCATAATTTACACTGTGGAATGTGCACTCATAAGTCAGCAAAACTTATGAGTTACAGAGCAAGTATATTAGGAAGCCTCAGGTCAAATGGAGCAAAACTAAGCTGATGTGGGTTAGTGCAAGCTGTGACTGAGAGCACGACATGGCCTCTGCTCAGCCACTTCAACTACATGTTGCTCTGAGGTGTCATGAGAACGCCCTCTCTTTGGTATTGTGTAAATAGCACATATCATTACTGCTAGCTTTTGTTATAAAATCTGGTGGCATGCCATCAGGGGACGGTCATGTTGGGAAACCTTCCTGAGGTGCAGGTGCTCCCAGGAACATCAATTTGGAGCTCAGAGGTGGCATACAGCCGAGTCTTATCACTTCCAAGAGCAGCAGACAGGAGTACCCTCTCCTCACTCCACAATTGTGCAATTTTGAAGCTAAATTTATCCGTGATTGCAACACGCCTTCGGTCAGTGCACTTCTAGTTCCATTCAGTTTTAAAGAGTTGGTTTTCTAGAATTTAGTTTTCCAGTTTTGAAGAACTTCTTTAATTCCCGTAATTCCTGGGGTTTCAAACTCTGATCTACCCCTGGGGTCAATTTATAGCTCAGAGGAGACACAATGTAACCATTGTGGTAGAGACAGATTCTCTTGCAGAACTCAAAGGTACCAAACATAACTCCAAAATAGGGAACTATCTGTTTAAAATGAAAATGAAAATCATGTTAAAAATCTTATAAGTGTCAATGTGTCTGCAATCAATTTGAGTCAGGGTAAACTGAATTAAAGGCTGTGGATAATACAACATAGTAATTCTTTTTGGGAATCAGAGAAGATAGGGGTGTGGGTGAGGAGTGGCAGAGCAGTTGAAGGGCCTTGGGGAATACAGTTCTGGATTAATATGCAGAACTGACACTTCTTGTCAACATATGCTTGTCTTGACTGAAACCATTTATGTGTCGATTAGTACAAGGTTTAGTCCAGAATTCTTTTTTCCCCCTAATAGAACGTAATATGTGAATTTTTTTCTTTTTTCAATCTTCCCCTGAGCATATGTTTAGAGAGTGGAAGGAAGAAAGAGAAAGAGAGAGAGAGAGAGAGAGAGAGAGAGAGAGAGAGAGAGAGAGAGAGAGACTGACTGCCTCTCGCATGCACTCCCACCAGGGATGAAACTTGCATCTGAGGAATTGAACTCAATTGACCAGGAATTAAACCCACAACCTTTTGGTGTACAGGATGATGCTTCAACCAGCTGAGCCACCTGGCCAGGGCAGTCTAGAGTTCTTAACTTTTTTTTTTTTTTTTTTTTTTTTTGTTATGGAATTTTTTGGGAATACAATAAAAGCTATGGATCCTTTCCCCAGAGAGAGAGGCATATCTGCACACACATCTGCATTTTCCCATATAATTTTAGGATGGAAGGTTAGGTTCCCCTTGGGAGTCCATGAACCCTCATGGTAGGAACCTGTACACTCAATGGTCAGCTCTTCTCGGATGGGGTATCAGATGCCCCAACTCTGCACAGGTTCCTCTCTCTTTAGGGCTGACAGCCAGGCTGCACTTGAGGGCCTTAGGCTACCATCAATGCTAGAGGGGTCATTTTCATGGAAACTGTTCTAGAAGTGGCAACAGAACAGGCTAGAACTATAAGAGGCAGAGAAACAGTAGAGACTGACCACTCTTCTCACCTTCAGTAAGTTGGCTGCCAATCCATTCCAGAGCCCCAGTACCCCATGGGCCTTCACTATCTGCCGGAAGCAGTCCGTGGCTCCTGAGAAATGGACATCTACTCCTCCACCGCGGGGAAGAAAGGGGCTCTGAGCCTGACGGGAAATAGAAGATGGGATGAGGTGATGTAATCACCAGGAAATAAATGTTCTAGTCAAATTAGCCGAGGTCTCAAGTCTGGATTCTGGATGCCATGATTCTGTCCCAGAGGATGGCAAAGAAAGGCTGTAACAGGGTTCTTCTTGTTCCATGGGCTTAAAATGAATATGAACATGAAGTAAAGTCATGGCACATCGCTCACGAATTTGTGGCTTATTTTGCTTAGAAGGAAGCAGCCATTTGGGACAGACTCAACTTTACACTTAACGTTCCTTCCCAACTTATGCCTTTTAGACATGTTCAACACACAACTCCCATACACTTAACCTTTTCAAAGTGCTCCCGTTTACTTGTCTGATACATCCCTTGTTTATTGTTTATTTTTTAAAAATAGTAACAAACTCACAGGTACAAAGACATCAATTTTTGTTATTTTTAAAATGTGTGAGAGAGGGAGGGAGACAGAGGTTTGTTGTTCCACTTATTTGTGTATTCGTTGGTTGATTCTTATATTGCCCTGATTGGGGATGGAACCCATAACCTTGACGTATCAGGATGACAATATTAACAAATTGACCCACCCAACCAGGGTCTCATCCTCTTGTTTAGACCTCTACTGTGGCACAGCCTATCTGGCATGAGTTATTGGGTACAATATCTGGGCTGGCAGCCAATGCACTTAGGGGAGCAGGTACTGGGCCTCCCTCCCTGTTCTAGCTCTTCGGGGCCTAACATACCTCTTTGCACATATCAGGCAACTCAGAAAATGTAAAAACAAAATTCTCCTCAATATCAGTGTCACTAGTAGCCTTTCCCAAATATAACTGTTTACCTGTAACTAAGCTCAAATAAGCTATATGAATAGTCATGAAGTTAAAAAAGATGGCCAATATTTAAAGAGGAAAGTACATTATAAAATATTTACTGAGTGTTAGGTGTCAGGCATTATTACACTGAGTACATGTTCCAGCTCACTTAATCTTCCCAAAAACCTCATGAAATAGGTAATATTGTCTTATTAGCACAATTTTATAGATGACAAAATGGAGTCAGTGAAAGGATAAATCTCCAAAATCACAAATAAGGTATCAACTTGAATTTGGGTCTGTTCAATGTGGAATGAAGCTCTACACCACTAAGCTACCCTGATGCCCAGCACTGAGCATGCTATATTAGCCCTTGATACTCTGCTTACCACATATCAACATTGAATGTGGCTGCCATAGCATGTACACTGAATAAATTCTGGAGCTCATGGTGTGGTGCCTTTACAAGTGTCATCCTAAACTGACATTCACAACACAAAAGAGAGCATGTATTGATAGTTGCTTCCTGCTATTGACTGAATGTTTGTGTGCCCCCACAATATGTTGAAGCCTTAATCCCCAGTGTGATAGTATTTGGAGCTGGAGCCTTTGACAAGTGATTAGGTCATGAAGGTAGAGCCTTCATGAATGGGATTAATGCCCTTATAAAAAGAGACTTAAGAGAGAGGATCTCTCTCACACTACCAGGTGAGGACATAGCAAGAAGGTGGCTGTCTGCAAACCAGGAAGTGGGTTCTTGCCAGACACTGAATCAATCTACTGCCACCTTGATCTGGGACTTCCCAACCTGAGAAATACGTGTTGTTTAAACCATTCAGTCTATGGTATTTTGTTTAACAGCTTGAACTAAAACACACCCCAAAAAAGAAGGAATGGTAAGGCTAAATACCATTGCTTCTCAACCCTTAGTTATATGTTAGACTAACCAGTGATGCTTTTCAAAACCATCCATGGCCCGGCTGGTGTGGCTTAGTGGTTGAATGTCAACCTATGAACCAGGTCACAATTGGATTCCAGGTCAGGGCACATCCCCGGGTTGTGGGCTCAACCCCCAGTAGGGGGCATGCAGGAGGCAGCCTATCAATGATTCTCTCTCATCGCTGATGTTTCTCTCTCTCTCTCCCACTCTGTAAAATCAATCAAAATGTATTTTAAAAAAACAACCATTCATGCCCTAGCTGGTTTGGCTCAATGGATAAAGCGTCAGCCTGCGGACCAAAACGTCCCGGGTTCCATTCCGGTCAAGGGCACATACTTGGTTGCAGGCTCCTCCCTGGCCAAGGCTCATGCAAGAGGCAACGAATCGATCTCTTTCACATGGATGTTTTTCTCTCTTCCATTCTCCCTAAATATATCCTTGGGTGAGGATTAACAACAAAAATAACAAACAAACAAAACCATCCATGATTGGAATCACTCCTAGAGACTGCAATTTACTGACCTACTAGGTTTAGGCATGGAAATCAGCATTTTGGCAAGCTCCTCAAGTGGTTCTGATGTGCAGCCAGGGTTGTTGAGGCCCTCCAAAGCACAGGTCTGCTCAGGGCTCAGACCAAGTTTCCTGGCTTGCTGCTGACATTGAGAGTGCTTGGGAAAAGTACATGGGCCCTAAAGCCCGACTGCTTGGACTGAATCCCTGCTTTGCCACTCACTAGCTCTGTGGCCTTAAGCAAATGCCTGACCTTTCTGAGCTTCAATTTCCTCATCTGTCCAATGGGATAATAATAATACCTACCTTATAGGATTGTTGTTGAAATTAAATGAAATACATACAAAATGCTTAGAACAATATTTGACATATAACAAGCACCAAAAAATAATCACCATTATTAATATCACTAGTGACCCAGAGTGTGAAATCACCAGAAACCCAGGCCCCAGGGAAATCGCATGAGACCAGGGACCCCAGACCCTGTCTCATTGCGAGACCCAGAGTCAAGTCACCGCCCACCTACATGCTTCTGGCACGCAGCCCCACCCACCCACCATGCAAGCCTTGCCACACGCAGCCTCCTGGTGACTTGTCTTTGGTGGTTGTGGCTTTAGGGCCATTGGGTTTTTATAATATAGATTAGTATTTATTATCTAAACTTGGAGAAGAGACAAGTATGCTGAAAACTAAACCAGTCCACTAGACTGGAATGTTAGACTGCCATTTGCCCAAACGGTATCTTACTAGTAAAGAGAAACAAACATGTCAGGCTGCTAGTCACACAGGACCGGAGCTTAAACACTCGCACATGACCCCAGGCAATTATCCCATAGTATCTAGTTTAGTTCTATAGATCCCAGGATGGACATTCTGCTTTGTTTCCCCTTTGAAGTTTGTTACTATTTTGCTTAGAAGACTAAAAGTGAAGGTAACAGTAGGATTAAAAATTGGTAAAATATTTCTAAAACGTAACAAACCAACTGACAAAATTATATTAAATAATTTGTAAAACAATCAATAAATAGTATAAAAGAAAGTACACTATAAAATATTTTTAAACTAAAATGATAAAATGCAGTCAATTGCAATTCATACTCAATATGTACTAACCTTTGATAGCATTGTAAACTTTCTTTTTTAGTTTTCAGTATATTTTTCTGTTTATTTCTTTTAAAAAATCTTTGTTGAGAGTATTACAGATGTCCCCCCTTTCTTCTCCCTTGTTCCCCATAACTACTGTTCCAACCCCACCCCAAGCCTTCACCACCTATTGTCTGTGTCCATGGGTAATGCATGCTAGTATATGCATATAATTATTTGGTTAATGTCTTCCGCTCCTTCTCCCCCCGAGATTTGACCATCTGTTCCATGTTTCCAGGGCATGCTGCTTTTGCAACATAGCACCATCTGAAAAAAATCAGAGGGAACAGGTCCTATTCCTGGCTCTGCCACTATCTATATAACCTTGACCAAGTCGTTTAGTTCTTTGAATCTAAGTTTGTTCACATGTCAAGTGAGGAAATTGGAATTAAATGACCTTGAATGCCCTTTCTTGATTCTATCAATATAATCCATGCTGTTGCTCCTACTCTACGTTTCTGACATTAAGCCTTCAAACCTGCCATTTCCTCTGCCTAGCTGAGTCTCTCTTACTGATCAGAATACATATCACTTCTTCCAGGAAGTCTTCTCAGATCCCCAAAGTCAGGAGCCTAGTAAACACATTTGGTCACCCTGTACTTCTCCTTTACGGCATGTGACACACTCTGTAATGATTTGGTGTATAATTATTTCTTTCATGTGTACTGCCCCTGATAACCCTGGCCTCCTGAGCTGTAAATACCATGAGGGCAGTGACCATGTCTGCCTTGTTTGTGGTTTTATCCTCAAAGCCTACCAACATGCCTGGCATGCAGCATGTGCTTAATACATATTCGGGGAAAGAAGAAGCAAACTTGCAGTAGATCACAATAAAAGACAAATACTTCAAAGAAAGCCAAGCATTTGATGGTTTCTGTGATAAACTTCACAGAGGCCTTCCAGCAGAGGTAACATTTCAGGCTGTTCATTTTTTCCATGAGTACTGAAATAAAAAATATTTTAAAAAATATATAAAACTCATACCCTTTGACCAAAGCAACCCTACTTCTAGAAATTTATTCTACAGATATATTTGTCCATGTGAGAACTGATGTATTTTTTTGGTATTTATTTTTGTATTGTCTAAAGTTTTATGTAAGTTTTCTTTTTCCTCAATTAACTCCCCCCAGCCATTCTCATGCCAGGCAAGCTCCCATGGCCCCAGTGTCTGTGTCCATTGGTTATGCTAATATGCATGCGTACTAGTCCTTTGGTTGCTCTCTAACTCCCCCCTCCCTGCCATTTGTCTCTGGATCTATTTTTTTTTTTAATATATTTTATTGATTTTACACAGAGAGGAATTGAGAGGGACAGAGAGTTAGAAACATCAATGAGAGAGAAACATCGACCAGCAGCCTCTTGCACACCTCCCACAGGGGATGTGCCCGCAACCAAGGTACATGCCCTTGACCGGAATAGAACCCGGGACCTTTCAGTCTGCAGGCCGACGCTCTATCCACTGAGCCAAACTGGTCCCGGCTGGATCTATTCTTGTTCATCAAATTACGTTGATCATTATATCCCACATATGAGTGAGATCATGTGATATTTATCTTTCTCTACTGGCTTTTTTTGCTAAGCATAATGCTCTCCAGGA